TTCCATTCCTAATATGATGGGTTAAGTCAGCAGCATGACCTTTGCACTATTCTCCATACAAGGAGTTTGATGGCGTATGTGGTGCAGTAATAGTTTGGATGAAGGTTATACCAATATCTCAAGCAGATACCCCTTCAAAGACAGTGGAGCTGAAAACAATCCCTGGAAGACTGTGCAGCTGAGGCTGAAAGCAGGATGCCAATATTTTATTCTGAACTCAGTGTAAGGTTTCCAAAGTTCATTGCCAACAGAGTCCTTAACCCTGGGAAGGTTACACTTTTAATAGTCACTGGGCATGGTGCTACAGACATGATTTATAGTTTCATTGTAATTTCACAGCCCCGATCATATCTGATGATTCTTCAGTTTCCTTGGAATAAGACAGAGAATAACCTGGATGTCTGTGTCCACCTGAAATGTATTCTGACCTATCTAGCCAAGATTTAGGAAAGACAGGGGACTGGACTAGATGGCCTCTTGAGATCCCTTCCAGTCCTATGATTCTATGAAAAGCACATGCTACTTCAGTATTGAGTTTGTTTGCATAGATCTGATAGGGATATTCCATGGAAGGCACCAGCGGTGTGTGCTGCAAATCAGGTTCTTCCTGTGCAGCGCCCTCAGCTGAGTTTGCCTAGCAAGGAATCTGATGAGAGGAAAGTCCTTTCACTTTTAAAATCTGATCCAAAGTAACAGAGATTGAAGAATCCCAAAGAAGCACCTATTGTATGATGTTTGAGCACTAATATGGGTCTATAATTACACTTCAATTGAAGGAGTCCTGCTGTATAGAAAAAAGTGGGGGAAGGAGAGGAGGAAGCAAGACTGGAGAGAGAATGAAACTAAAATCTGGTGAGTAAGGACAGAGAACCCAATCCACCCATAAATTTGCCTGGATTCAGGTGGAAAAAACCACCACCACAAAATGACAGAAGCGTTGGTAGTGTCTTAATGTCCTTACCTTTCATCCTTTCCCTATTGCTTTACTCTTAGGGTGTGTCTAGACTACATGCCTCCTTCGACGGAGGCATGTAGATTAGCCAGATCGGGAGAGGGAAAAGAAACCGCGATTAAA